GATGAACAATGTGAATAAACGAAGAAATATTTATTTACACACACACACACACACACACACAAACATATTGCATTACAATACATTATAAGTTAATATACGTTCACAAGCATATCGAGTTTTTGTTTTGGTTACCGTTTCAGAAATACTTGCAAACACAATTTTATGCTTATTTGCATAAAATCAATACAAGTTCTAAATAATTAAAAAATTGAAGTCGCAATTGAAGACATACAATATATGGAAAATTTCACAAAAAAAAAAAAAAATCATACTACCCGGAAGAAAATTGGTCTGCACTTCTAGCAGTCATTGAATAACATTAAGTGCATGCATAGGAAAACATTGATTAGTTTAAAGGAATAAATAGAAAAATAACACATTAGGGTACACTTTTTCTGTTCATTTATCAAAAGTAAGTCTATAAAAACAAAAAACCAAAACAGATCGTATTTGTGATTCAATATCCAATTTGACGGCATATTCGATTAGTTAAACTTTTAGAAAAAGCCGGCAAGAAGCTTCAGAGGAATCTATAAAACAAGTTATCTAAATACTTGATGAACCTTAAATTTGGAATCGATCTAAGCGTATCTGTCCCTCCGTCTCTCCGCTTCTATAAATATATGTGGTCGGAAGAATTAAGACATCGGCCTCAAATATGGCGATAGCATTGGATTTATATTGAATATGTGCCCAATCAGTCAAAGGACACGTCTGCGGCAGAACATAAACACAGGAAATTTCTACGTTCTGGTTTTCCTTTTTTCCTACTTATTCATAAATTGGAACTAATGCAATTTATGGGTGATTCCACAGTCCAGTACAACAAACAATAAGAAAATCAGCTAACTTTTCATATGAAAAAAATTATTGTTACTGTTTTTTTTTAAGATTGTTCAAGTTTCCAATGCTTGTATGTAGTCGGAGGAAAACCATTGATTTGAGTTCTTAATGCACCAAGGATTGTTTCTACCATATTTTTACCCAGGATAATGTATCAAGCTATCGATAGTTATAGTTTTAATGACGTATTCGGCAAGCAGATTATCTACTTACTATGTGCTAAATATATCGCAGACTACATTCTTTATTTAACGGAAAGTTATTCTTGGTTATCACAAACTTTGCGGAGTTTTCTTACTACAAGGCAAGCAAGATTTAAAGGCAAGGTTACGCCCCTTTAATCTGAACTCTAGCATTTGAAAAATGGAAACGAAATCTTCCAGAAGAGGATCAAATATTTGAGACTATTTTTATGATTTCAAGTGTAACAGACGGACACCACACTGTTCGCACTTATCAACAGGCTATAATATCATATACGTAGTAGGATGGGTTTAAAGAAAATTAACAAAGTGACTTTTTCACGATTTTTGTATCATAGATAGTAGGGCAGAGATCATGTTAACAAGGTATCCGCTTTTATTTTCTATAAACAATGTAAATATAATTTTAACCTGTAAGTATTCTATTATTAGGAACGAAATGAGCTTAGCCATCATTGGTCTTTCTTTATTGCAGTTCTTTACAAGACAAACGAAGTGACTAAAGACCCTAGAGCAGGAAGACAAGAATCATTTCACACTGTAAAAATACTGTTAAGACAGTTCAAATTATTTTTTTGCACAAAAGCGATTCGAATCCATGTTTCATTTCATTTACGAGATAACTCTTTCCAAAGATATGCTATAGAAGAAATATAAATTGAATATAAATTTTGATAAGAGCAAACAATTAAACAAAGTGTGAAGGTGTAACGCTTCAGGACATGTGTATGTGATTCACCGTTAAAATTTCCGTCTTTTGTTATCACACAAACTTTAAATTAAAATCGCAATTACCCTCGATAACATACATTAATCTCAACTAAAATATATGCAAAAAACAAAAAAAAGGGGAAAAAAAGTGCAATCATATATAAAATGAAATAGTTTTTCTCCCGCTTGTTTCCCTTTTTTTTTTTTATTTTTTATTATCTTTTTTTTTTTTGTTTTTTTTTTTTTTTTTTTTTTGTTTAGGTAATACGATTTTTTTTGTATTCATACTGTGAAAAGAGGTCAAGGAGAGAACGGGGCCATTGGTTTATAGAGATAAACTTTTATTACTCTCCATAAATATCAGATAGTTTTGTAATTTCAGATAATGAAATTTTATTGAAAAAAATGACAAATTTATAGTTTAAATGCATAAGCACGTTAAAAACACATACAAATGCAACCACCAAAGCAAGTAACCATGAAAAAGAGTATGATGTGAGGAATGCATGGGGATATATGTACATACATATATATACATGCATATATATATTGTGTGCATACCATACCAATGTATGCTTAGATGTACGTGCACATACAAATTTCAACTGAAATATTTAATGTATTCGTCTATAATTTTCTTGCACGCGTGTGGGTGTTTGTTTGCCATTTTTTTTTTTTTTTTTTTTTTTTTTTGGTTTATGTTTTTTTTTTTCTATGAATAAGTGTTTGAGTGTTTTATGTGTTTGAGTTTTGAAAAGTTTTACCCAAATATTTGCAAAAAGGATATTGATTATGATGAACTTAACCGATATTCCCGAATATAATATGCGACTTTGAGATATGCATGTGACTATGCGAACAAGTTCGCATAAAAATACATTTGTATCTGTATATGTGTAGATATGCCTTTATATGTATTTATATCCATATATGAAAGTAGATGTATATATAAAAATGCATGAAGGGACGTTATGAAGTCGTTCTATATTTAAACGAGGAATAAAGAGAGAAACTATTAGTTTCAAAACTTAAGGAAGTTCGAATTGTACGTGTATGCAAACCGTACCAAAAATTTTCAACCTTCAAATATAAATATATATGCTATATAGTGTTGATGTTCGTATATGATGGTATATAAGTGTATGCGAATAGTTGAGACGAAAATTTATGTTCTCAATAAAAACAACCAAATAATATCGAATCGAGAATACTTGAGTTGCGTGTTGCAATTCTATAAGCAAACATTGTTTATCCCTTCGAAAAATTTGAGAAATTCATAAAAGAACACAAGCACAAGCGTTTACAAACATTTTAATCAATGATCGAGATGTTCGTACACATATTTATATATATATATATGTGTAAATATATATATATATATATATATATATATAACACCTCAATATATATGTATATATGTAACATATAAACCAAGTTCTTTATAGAAACGAATATGCGCTCTCGGTAGTATAAATTACTTCATGGATATATCGTATATACATTGATATATATATATATATATGTGTGAATGTGTATACATGTGAAGACAGGTTTACTGCTTTCTTTTTTCTTTTTCTTTTTTTTTTCAGGCCGCTGCTTAACGTAAAAAAAGGGTCGATATTGAAAATTTATAGCTCTGCTGCAAGGAAAAAAATTTGGACTTTGTTAAGAAAAATATATTTAATATTCACTATTCAATTATTAAGATTCTGCGAAAAATCTAAACTTCTACCAGCGATAGTAACTTTCTGTCTTTATATTGACTATTTTTCTTAAAAATGTTTCGCAATCAATCAAGTTGCCTTCAAGGTACATAATACAGAAAATTTCTCCCAATTTTTTCTCTTTTCCTTTTTTTGCTGACAGCTTGGGTTGATTTTTGCTAAGCTCATTTCCCTTTATTAGCCCTATCATACTAATTCCATTTATTCTTTTCTTTTACTAAACGATACCTCGGCCGTTTGTAAGGCTGCTCAAGTCAACGCCTATCAATCATATTCGAGAAAAAATCGTCTTAAAAATGGTCAGCTAATTATCATCTCACTTAAATTATATACGAGTTCTAGGATTACTAAACTGTTTATATATTCTTAACTGCATCCTAGTCATACGGCTCAATCGGATAATATTACTCCATGCTCTCTGCCTAAACCCTATAATTCTGTCTCTCAAGCAAGCTTGATATTTATTTTGCTTTATTAAAGTATATCATGATTTGCAAATCTTTTTCTCATGTCATTGACGTGACATTAAGTTCCTTTGCTCTTAGTTGGGAATCACTGATCGAATATCTACTTAAGATTAAACTATTTGAAAAATGAAAATAGAATTGGATAAAAATGTTTACTACGAAGAGACGACAGTATATGGGAAGAAAGATAAGTCAAACCATAGGTTATATTTGTTCTATTTTAAATGTTCAAATATTTTATAACAAACAAATACATATATGCATATATATACATATATATATATATATATATGTATATGCATATGCATCACACACATATACAAGTTTTCATATTACGGTTAGTTCATATAGCAGCAGATTGTACGTATGGATTACATGCAAATCTGATTGCATTGGTATGTATGGATTATTGATGTGAACGTGTGCGCAAATATAAAAGGAAAAGTAAAAAAAAGAGGAAAAAAAGGAGGAGAAAAAGTTTTTTTTTTTTTTTTCTGTTTGTAATGCATTTACTGTTGTAGACACATTTGTGGCATGTGAAAAGTTCGAAAACGAAAAATAACATTGACAATCGACTTGAACCCGATGAACGTCGACACGTATATAACTACATAGGAAATGAAAATGGATATGAAGTGATACTTATCAGTAATGAAATGCTATACGAATGCAAGTAAAAAATAAAAAAAGAATCCAGCATAAGATTCATTTAAACAGATAAAAGATCCGCACACATAGAAAGGCGGAAAATTTTAAAGGCAATCATTATCCATTTTTTTTTTTTTTTTTTTTTTTTTTTTTTTTGAGTTTTTTTTAATTTTCTCTCGTGCATTTTTTTCGACCTTCGATATTTATCATTAGATGCGCTAAATTTCCCGCAACCTTTAACTGGTTTGTGGTACCCATCCGAGGCGGATTGTTCTTGTATTTCGTAAAATATCAACTGCGGATAGCATGCGGAAATAAATGCAAATCAATCGCAAAAATTATATTAAGTCTACTGCACACAATGCAGGAAATACTTATGCTTTGTTATTCTCTTTTCATTGCAGAGACTGTAGAGTGGTTCGTGACCCCCAGACCCTGAAATCTAAAGGTTACGGTTTTGTATCATTTGTAAAGAAATCCGTAAGTATTACTTAATTATTTACTTATACCACGAATATTAGTAACATGCTGCTTAAGCACTAAGATCTTATAAGAGTTCCCTCGGGAAGAAATATTGATAGACCGACCGCATAATTGTAAATATTTACGTATAATTTTGACAACACGATATGTAGAATAAGCACTCACGTAAGCATAACGCTCTTCGATATGATAGCTTGTTACATGTCTTTCAAAATTTATTGTCGATGTAGCGATAGGTGACGGCACTTACCTGTAAATAAAATGAAAAGCAAAAAAAATATATTAATTAATTATTCGTTTTTTAGCAGTAGATAAGTGTTAAAGAGATTAGTGTGAAATGCTTGCGCCCTACACCACTTGTGGTACAAGAGTATATATTGTTTGTGCGCATGTATGCAGTATCGAAAGGGATTTTAAATAGACCCATCATTTATTTTATCATTCGATATGGAATGCGATTCTCAATCGATTAAAATTTGTCTGTGCGTCCGTACGTCTTCTTTCCTTATGTTCAACCTAAAAAGCGCGCATTATGAGATATTTCGATGAAATTCGATACACTGATGTCCGTTCAAGAACGAACGCCAGGCCTACTATTTCGACCATATATCATAGCACGCCTTATTTGAAACAGCCCTCGGACATTTAGCTATGGGCCGTATGTCCGTTTCTTGTTGTTTACTTAACGATGGTAGTTCATTGGTGTTAGCTACCAGGAAAGTATGGATGATCCGAAGCAAGTACGGTTGTTTTTAACAAACGCCCAAAGTGTGCCATAAGGCTTTGCAAAATAAACTGGGAGCCACGGGGGTCAGGAAGCTCGCTCACTAAGCCACGTATGCCTGCGGGTATATGATGGACTTGTTCTTAAGTCGTAACAAATAAATAAATTAATTACACTATTTATGCTAAAGGAATTGACGGACGGCTTTCCCTCTGGCCGAATAAAAGAAAATGTCTGGTAAATGAATTAATACATGCAAAAAGGAATTGATGGACGGCTTTCCCTTTGGCCGAATGAAAGAAAATGTCTGGTAAATTAATTAATACATGCAAGAATGGAAAAGGGGTATGACGAATAAGTTCTCCCCTTTTACCTATTTTTACTTTTGAACACATGTCATGAATGCCTGCGGGTAAAGGTGGTAATTGATCAACAAGCACAGTGGAAGCCTTATGGCGGAAGCAGTCAGTTGATCAATTGGTGAGTCCTGACTACTGGGTGCGGCCCTTCGGGGAGTACTCGTGGTGGTTGTGGTTGGCAGTTCCAAGCCAAAGTGGAACAATCGAGTGCAGCTAGGCCCTCGCCACTCACCAGAGTGGGGTTTATTGTTCCATACACAATAAACTGATCTGGACTCTGGTGCTGTTTAGGCCCCTACTCTGTGGGGATTGTCTAACTCGCCAGGGGGCGTAGTACGCTTAAAAAGTGGTTTGGGCCACCGTGGGGTTAAGCCTTACAGGCAGGAACCCACGTTAAACCCTTGCCACAAATTCTGTTTACTTAACGATATTTCTAAAAAACTACGAAGTTCTAATAGTTTTTAATTATATGCATTTTATAAGCAGTTATATTCCATAACATGGTTTCCTGTTAGAATCACAACCATTGCAACTCTCTGCTTATAATCTCGTAGAGGTAATAAATATCCCTAAATCTCTATTCATCTATATTGCCACAGCCATTTATATCCACTACCGAAAGATAGGGACATATTAGGTTGGATGGTTCATTTCTAAAACCTACGTTGATTCGTAGGTGCCACTAACTATTTACTCGAGATGAGTTAATGCGATAGTTTTTTGACTTAACGAACGACAGTCTACTCCTATTCCAACAACATTCATTTTATTTCCCAGTTTTTCGACTAAATAGAGCTTCTTTTGCTGCACAATAAATACGTCTATTATTCCAAATGGCCTCCAATCGCCACGGATATTAGAGGAATATTCTGAAACTTGGTAGAATTCTCTCTTTGCTTTGGTGAGCATATCATTGCTAGCGAATACAGCTTCCAATTGCAGAGGCAGGAACGCCAAGGAAAAGTCTACGGGGACCCTTTTAAACTTCTTTGATATAAAATGTCTGCGTCTACCCTCACTGAGCAACAAAAGCAACATAGAGTTACAAGAGCATTGAAATTTCAGAAAATCGTTTTTTTTTTTTCAATGGAAAACTTTTTTTGGTGCGCTAGAAAGAGATGGCAGATGGCAAAATCATAACAAGAGTTCATAAGTAACAATTGAATGCTTCACTTGCGAAATCGATTAACTCCACAAAACAGGAAGTTAAAATAAGTGATAAAATATTATAAATAAATTATTTATTATTCAGTGCCCTAAATGATTTTGTCATTTAGTGGTGTTAATACTTACTATTAGAGAAATTCGTTTAGAATATGTGCAGTTAGGAGCTAAAGAAGTGCTTTGATATTAAAATTTAATAAAATTCCAAATATTGAGTTAATCGATTTGTCAAGTGAATCGTCCAATTTTTAATCAAACTAAATTTTTAAAATTCTGAAAATGTGTAAAATATGTAACATATGTATAAGCAAATGTATTTGCAAACAAATTTTTCTTAGTAAATCATAGGCTTTCGATTATATTTTTCGCAGTACAGATGCTTAATTTGTCTGCAATTACATTGTAATGTAATTGGGGAGGGTTTGGATTTTATATTTATATCTATATAAGTAAAAATGTTCATATGTTATGCGTACAGTGTGTGAATAGAATTAAGTTAAGCCAAAATTTTTTTTGGGAGTAAAATACGATTTTGTGATGTGTTAACCAAGAGTGTGTAAATACAACTTAATCCTTGACACTTGTGCTATACTTAAAGTACTGGGCAAGATTACGTAGTGAACATATAACAACATTTTCACACAAACACATACATACACATGGACAAATTGTCCATACGTAATTGTATCCATATCTATATATCTATCTATGCATGTGTGTATGAAAGTCTTTGAATACCATATGCCGGTAATTATTTACTTTTCAGCTTATTTCTGCCATATGTCACATGTGTCTTTATTATTTACTGTTACATATAATGACATAAATGCAACCATACACGTACATATATATATATATATATATATATATATATATATATGTATAACATATAAATATATAAGTATATATATATATATATATATATACTTTTACGCATGTACACATATATGTCAAAATTAATGGTCTCTTGGTGTTGCGTTAATCTGTCCGTATTAAAAGCGTATTAAGGTTTTGACATTTCTTTGATTTGTTATTTAATCCTTCGTTAAATATCAACCACAGAAACGACAACAACAATAACAACAACGGAGGCCGCTGTAAACTCATATTTTCATATATATATATATATATATATATATATGTACGTACTATACATGCACAGTATAGTGCAGATCTTCCATGTATATATATACTTACTTATCTATATAACCGTTATATTTAAACATTTAATCATTATATAAACGTACTTTTATCTATATATATATATATATATATGTATATATATCTGTATTCAAATCGTCTATATTATGTAGGCGTATAAGCGTACATGTGTTCTTGGCAGATTATAGAATAACCGTTATGTGGACACACAAAAACTTGACATTAACATGATTTACCAATTTTCGCTAATTATTCACGTTCACGTATGCGGTTGAATAAATTTAATCAAAGTAATTTATTATTCAATTAAACAACCATCGCTTTACTTTCCCTTGATCCCTGTTTCTATACTACATAGCCTTATCTGTCTTCATTTATTTATGTTTTTTTTTTTTTTTTTCTCTTCTATATAGGCAAACACGTCTCAAATTATAATTAGAAATTCATTTATATTCCAATGCGACAAATACTAATTTTCATTCATCGCAAATAATTAATTGCAACGATAAAATTTAAACGCTAATCAAGGAAAATCCACATTGGGGTTAAAAATCAACCATTTAATGCTATAGCTACTAAAATAAATATTAATTTAATTTTTTTTTTTTTTTTCAAAAATTTTCTTTTTTCCTTAGAATCGCTTTAGATGGATTATTTAGTTATATCATCTCTACTTCAAATAATATTCGTTAGCGAGGCCACCGCTCATTCCTAATATAGACAAAAGCCGAAAAAGCAAATCGATACCAGTGTGTGTAGCACGTAGTACGTCAGTGATAAGAAGCATATATTTTTAAGATTTTCTTACTTTCAGTTATTATAAATGTATGCTTCATTGGCGCCATCAAAAATAATGTATAGTCGACAAAATCAATAGCTTGCTGTGTGAAAGGTATCCCGGAATGTTTAATAAACAATTACCCATAATGGGTCCATTATACATGCGCGATTGTAATTAGTAAAGCTTATCTATAGGTTATTGAAAGTGAAAGCATCTGAAACGGCTGGAGGGGCCAGTGCGACTAGACATTTTCAAAGTGCTGTGCGGTTAAAGAATCGAGGGTCGTAATAGATAGTAAATGCGATGTAAAGTCGCTGGAGATAGACGAGGTGATTAGTCGCGACAATGCTATATATAGACAAGTTAACAATGACTGGGTGAGGACGATGGACAAGCCGAAAATTACTCTTGAAGAAATTCACGAAGAGTTTCTTTTACTTCCGTGAATTATTTGCCTTCAAGGCACCGATTCATAAGCGCAGCACAACTTACATACATGATGTTCAACACAATTTCGTGATCAAATGAGAAATGGAAATTAGGAATAAATCCAAGAGCAAAATATTCCTTTTCAGGCACTGTACAATTCAATTAGTAACTGAACAAAAAAAAATTATTTTTGGTTCATCAAAAACAATTTTTCCGCTTTAAAATTAATCGCCACAGCTAAGCCAGACTTTCGTCGAAGTTTTCATACACATTTCGTAGGTAGATTGAGATTTTGTTCATCCAGTTTGACCACGTTTCTTTCATGTCTTTATTTAATGCCGTGGACAAGACGATAACCTAAGCTTTGGAAGTAGCAAAC